GTACACCAGCCACTGCAGGAAGGGTTTTCATTTGTTCACGCTTTTCTATATATACTCTGTCCCTTTAAGGTAGATGATTTTCCAAGCAAGCTGTAGATTGAGCCTGGGGAAACCTATATGAAGGCCAACCAGGATAGATTAAGGGAGTCTAATTTCCAATCTTACAAAATCCATATTCCAATAGAAGAGAATATCTGTAACTCAAGATATTGAAGTTATATTGAACTGTGGACTGCTTGGTGCTCTCTGAGCTCAGTTATTTGCTTGCCGATGTTTCATGACCCGACTAGGTAACGTCATCAATGCACACGGATAATATTGCCTAATTAGGGCATGAAACATCTCTATGCAAACAGTCAAGCTCAAGAGCATCAAGATGCCCACAAATCCAAATTCTGTAAGAAAAGCTTTCTGAAAAAAATATTGCCCTGTATATGTGCGTGTGTAATGTATTTTCTTTTTTCTGTTTTCCTATTAGCATCTATCCCCTGATAAAATTTTCCATATTGTGGTGGCCCCTTGCTATGACAAAAAGTTAGAAGCATCACGAGGAGACTTTTATACCCATTTGTATAACTCTCAAGATGTAGATTGCGTTTTAACATCAGGTAATATCTTCTTTACAATATACTACATTTCCTTTTACTCAAATTTCTTTTAACAAGGACATTGTATGAGGACCTACAGTCATGTAACAGTAAGGTTGGCTGGGTAGATACGATTGGGTACTTTAAGAGAAAAGGAGAAGGAGTGGAAGTTGGGGTAGTTTACATTTTGAAATATTGCGATAATAGTCATATTTTTAATATTTGATATTATATTGCATTATTTTTGTGTCTGTTGGACATATGTATATGGTTATAGGAAATATTTCTGGCAAGATCAGCCCTGATTATATATAAAACAGACAATGGGGGAATGCAATTGTAATACCAAAAGGGTACATAGATGCTGAATTTTCTCTCCCATCCTCTCACTCCCCCTGGGAACTTAACTTCCTTGAATCTCATGTGCCACTTTTCCATGACCCCAAACTGACATTGGCTGGGACAAATGTATCACTGTGAAGTAAGCTGTGATTGAGAAGAGTGTCGTGTTTCTGTGTTTCATATTCTTTAAATTGAAACATGACAGTGTCAGCCCTATCATTGGGAAGAATGCCCATGGGCGTGTAAGGTTTCTGACATAGTTTATTCTTTTTCTGATTTTAACAAACAGAGAGATCTTGTATAATTTTTATCTCAAATGCCAAAATATCTTTATGGCCCTTGAGTACTAATGAATCTTCATTTGTTATTGGGAGTTAGGAGATAATAACTTTCAGTTTCAGAGTGACAACAACAATGTGTTTGGCTACCTCATCTGAGGGAAGAACCAGTTAGAAACCAACTAAGTTCAGACTTAGCTAATATTTGGATGGAAGCCCTCCAGGGACCTTGAAAGCTGTTTTCCAGATGGGAGACTTAAAAAAAAAACCTGTTCTAGAAAAAGAAGAGAATTCTCTTGAGAATTTGTGCTTAGTAACCTTGTTACATATTTAAGAAAGTTTTTTTTTCCCCTACAGGTGAAGTCTTCCAAATGATGGAACAAAGAAAAATATCATTGAAAGAAATAACTGAGGTGTCCTTTGATACCTTGTAAGTAGCTTTTATGAGCTTTTTGTTTCATGATTTCTCTAAAAACTGTCTCCTTAGGCATCTCCATCAGATGAAAGCATTTCAGAAGGACAGATATGAATTATTATGGCCTTCACATTATGCTATATAAAGTGACGATCCTGTTAAAAATTGGTTTGTTTCAGCATGCCATCCTTGTAAAAAATGCTTGTGTATCCAGAGATCCTGGTTATATTTGGGTAAATGGATTGGACTGTTCCCCCATCCCCATCACTTTTCCTGCTGGCTGTCCTGTAACTGTCCATTGCAGAACCGAAGTATCAGCCAGCTTCTTTGTTCCCTTCATCTTATTTACCATCAGACACAAGAAGAAAACAATGAAGCAGGCAGCAGCTCCTCCCTCCCTCCTTCCCTCCCTCCAACATATGAGTAAATGACACGAGCCAGATGGGAGTTCAGCAGTTCCCATCCATGTGAAATATTGATGGTGCCAGATACATTGACTTCTGCTAATGTGAGCTTCTACAACCCCTGACAGTAGTAACATTACCATATGCTCTGAATTGTAGTGCAGAAGTGAGCGTTATTGTTGTGCTATTTGCAAAGATGATGATGGAGTGGCATGGCTGGCATGCAGTACTGGGACACACGAGCTTTGCTTTGTGGAGTTGACATTGGACCTGCATGCCTGTCCTGAGATGCACTTGCTGTAGAAGCATGGAATGTTTATCACAGCACATAAGTGGGAAGCCTCCTCACTGTCAAACATTGTATGGTTTGCAAGCAGTGATAACTGTTCTTTCAGAAGACAAACTGCTAGAAGTGGCATTTTAAAAACATTTAAGTTGCTTTAAAATCTAAGAGTTATATTATGGTGGAACTCTTGTAGGTGTTAAAATACTTTCACCATAATATAATTCTTAGATTCTAAATTAAGTGTTCTTTTAAAAATGCCACTTTTAGCCTTTTGTCTTCTGAAAGAGCAGTTGTTTCCCATTTTATTAGAAACGTTGTCTTTAGCAATATTTGTCTACAGGATAAATACGTCATTTAGTCTACAGGAAACCAAACAACTAGGGAAGAAAATAGATGCTCACAAGATCAAATGGAAGATCACAAACACCATTCACAGCTGCAGTTATCTGTTATTTTTAACATTGGTATGCTGTTTTGTCATGCACATATAACAATTGTTTATTCCAATCCAAGAGCTACACAAATGCGCATATCCACATAATATGAGTAGGGGTGGCAGAAGTTTTGATTCCCTTACTGTGGTTAAGTGGGGTTGTGATGGCTCAGCAGGTAAACACACTGAGCTTGCTAGCTGGAAAGTTGACAGCCAGGCTTTGAGAATCTGACTGCCCCGCAAGAGGGTGAGTTCAATTGTTACTTGCCCCAGTTCCTGCCCACTTAACAGTTAAAAAGCAGGCATATGTGAATAGATAAGTAGGTACCATCTCAGTGGAGAAGTAACAGTGTTATGTGTGCCTCAGCATACAATCATGCTTGCCACATGCCCATGGGAGGGTTTTTGGACAATGCTGGCTGCCTTGGCTTGGAAATGGAGATGAGCATCACCCTTTAGAATCGGGAACAACTAACACATATGTGCGAGGGGAACCTTTACCTTTACCTTTTTATGGTTAGGTACTATATTGCAACTGTTGATGTATAAAT